TCGCTACTAAAATCAGGAGACCGAACCATCGCACAGTCAATTTTATGTTGCCTCAAATGCCTCGAACTGCCTCGGAAAATACACACGGGAAAACATGTGAAGCCCTTGCAGAGTGTACATTTTAGTTGCAAAACTCCCGTCATTCACACGTATCAAAATTTTAACAAATAAAAGACCCCTAACTAGTAATCACCAATTTTTGCGCCATCTGTTGTTTGTATTCTGTACAATTATTTGTTTTTTTGCGTTTTGTATTGCAGTGTCTAGGTGACGCGAACATCAGCTAACATTTAAAAAGTTGGACCAACTGCGTGTCTATATTTTTGAACGCAGTTGTGCAATTCGTGCAGTTCAAGAACTCTGCCTTCTAGTGGGACTCTAGATAAGTGGATGTATAAGGCACGACCTACTCTAAATGGATAGATTATGTGACTCAAGTACCCAGCTGTGCCGCATCTGTGGGCAAACTACATTAGTGAATATTAAACATTGCGGACTATGGCGCGTGCAGGCAAAAATGAGGATGCATACAGATGTATATATTAAGACATTAAAATAGAAAGGCGTAATAAATCGTCCATATCACGGTGTATTTGTAAAAGCACATTTGAGTGGTTGTGTGAGAGCCCTCCGAAGGCTCTAAAATATTGACGTAACTGAACAACTAAGTTCAAAGTAAACATTGCGCAACTAAAGAAAAATACACCACAAAGAAGGAACACTTAATAAGGTCGAGCGCAAACTGTTTTGTTGCTCTCGACCTGTTTAAATGTTCCTTCTTTGTGGTGTCTTTTTTTAGTTGCGCAATTTTTCCTTTGAAGCACGGAGGAAGGCACGTGCTTTGAAGTAATGAACCAACTAGCCACTCAAGACGTCTTGATGAACAACTAAGCCTTATTACTGAAATGAGCGGGCCGTAGATGATGAATGGGGAGGAAATAATACATGCATACCTGCTTGCTCTCGTTGCACAGCTATCAGAAAATAGAATTCGCCGCTTTGAGACACTGTCAGAATGGTTTCAAACGACCAAACCAAACTTCGATCCTATCATTCAGAATTGATGATAAAGTTTTTTTTTTCACCCGCGTGCACCAGCTCCCAGTTTTCGTCGATAGTCTCTACCACGGTAGAAAACACCGATGATCTTCTGATGTGCTTTGACCATTGACTATAGCTGATCTTGTAGATGAGTAGCACTTGTCGAATGCCGTCTGTAACATTACTTGTTTTTTTCTGTTTTTGTTTCGACACTTATAAATAAACGTGCTGCGACGTCAATTCGCAATTAATGATTGCGGTCTCAATTGTCGTGCTCGGGCTCTCCGAAGTCGAAGCGGGCTGGACCCGCGACGGGTCACGAAGCATTATCTCACTTGCGGGGTGTTTCTTTTGACCCACTGAAACCTATAACGCCTTCAGTCGGTTATACTGCGGTCGCAATGCACTCGTATCGCTATCTTTTGATCTAGTCGACGTTTCACGGAGATCTTCTATCGTGTCCCTCCTTACAGCTCCACGCGGGTGAAGAGATTTCGCAAGACACTTTGTATTTGCGGGCCGAACCAAGATTCAGACAGTCCAGCAGGCCCACGACGTGGCGGTGAGGCTTGGCCTTGCCATCTCAACGTGGGAGCAGCCCACGGTCCTTGCTCTATGAATGCGGGAGTTACTCAGTATATTAGTAAAGTTTACTACCTACCTACCAACATAATATGATACGTTGGAGTTTCTTGGTGCAACGTATACAGACATGTCCGCACTGTACGTCTGGTCAGACATCCTCAAAGGTGCAACTGAAATCGAATGACACTTTGCAAGTAATAGTGCTAAACTGAGCAATTCAGGAATGTTCAACTCAGCCCTGTCTCAGTGTACCTTTTCTTGTAAGTATTTATAGTACAATAATGTTGGGGTTTCACGCCCAAAACCACAATATGGTTATGAGGGATGTCACAGATGGCGGCTCCAGAAGTCTTGACTACATATTGGGCTCATGAGTGTGCACCTTAAATCTAAGCACATGGATCCATGGCTCTAGCATGTCGCATCCATTGACCACTGCCCTTGCAGCGGCCACAAGGCAGAATCCTCGCGCACATGAATGTGACAATCACAAAAATGAACCAATACGGACCAATTAATTATGATACGGTATTCTACTTGCTGAGGCTTGTGAAGTGGCTTGATAAGATATGACGGAATGTGTCAAAGTTTGTCTGGGATGCAATGTCGTCAGGCAAACTGTTCCACAGACGGATAGCACGTGGAAGTGCGGACTGATTGAACGCGTTTGTTGAGCCGTATACACGGGAATAGCTAAGATGATTGTGTAGTCTACGTGAAGTGAGATATGGTTTTTGCAGACCAGTAACGGTGAATCGGGAAGAATGGGTAATTTTATGAAAGAATGACAGCAGGGCAATGTCGCGACGAATGTTCAAGAGTGGGAGTGAAAGTTCCTGTTTGATTTGTGATATACTAGAATGCGGACTGTAGTTATTGGCAATGAAGCGGCTTGCTCTATTCTGGATTCTTTCCAATGAGTCAATTAAGTATTTTTGATGGGGAGACCAAATCGAACAGGCATATTCTAGTTGAGGGCGAGCCAGTGTCAAGTAAGATAATTTGCGAATGCCTGATGGTGCAGCTTTCAAGTTACGTCTCAAGAAACCTAGTGATTTCGAGGCGCTGGCAGAGATTGCCGTAACGTGGTCGGACCAGGATAGATTAGGTGTCAGTATTACGCCCAAGTACCGATATTGTGTTGCAGTCGATAGAATGGAATGATTATTACTGTAAGAGAATTCGGATATGCTAGGTTTACGTGTGAACGACATTACTTTGCATTTTGAGACATTTAGTGTCATCAGCCATGCACTACACCAACCATTAATTACGTCGAGGTTGTTTTGGAGTGACAGGTGATCTTCACTGTTCTTGATTGGACGGTAAATAATGCAGTCGTCAGCGAACACCCTGATGCAAGAAGAGACATGTTGCGGAAGATCATTGATGAATATGAGGAAAAGTAATGGCGCGAGTACACTGCCCTGTGGTACACCTGAAGAAATGTCAGATAGGGAAGAAGACAAATTGTTAACTGTTGTGTATTGCTGACGATTCGAATGGAAATTGCGAAGCCATGATAATGTACGGGAGTCTAATTTCAGGGCGGAAAGTTTCGATATCAGGCGACAGTGTGCAATCCTGTCAAACGCCTTCGAATAGTCGAGGAACACGCAATCAGTTTGATAATTATTGTCCATATTTGCATGAAGCTCTGTGGTAAATTCAAACAACTGAGTCTCACACGAAAAGCCCTTTCTGAAACCATGCTGATTTTTGAAAAAGAAATGATTGGGTTTCAGATGCCTGTAAATATGTGAAGCGATGATGTGTTCTAGAATTTTACAACAAATACATGTAAGCGAAATAGGACGGTAATTTTAGCATGAGGTTTTATTTCCGCTTTTGAATATTGGAATTATTTTCGCCAGCTTCCAGTCAGACGGTATCATGCCTGTTTCGAGAGACTGCCGGAATATATGAAGTAGTATTTTGCTTGTGACCATTACCGTATTCTTTATCACCTTTGAGTTGATTCCATGCACGCCGCATGAGGACGACAACTTAAGATTATTTATGGCTGTAATTATGCCTTCTAATTGAATATCTATTGGTTCCATAAATTGGTAATCGAACTCAGCTACGTTGGGTATGTTGGTACTGTTCTCTTTCGTGAAGACAGAAGTGAAAAAGGAATTAAATGCTGTTGGACACTGGCTAGCTGTGAGAGGGACGTTGTTGCAGTCATGCAATGAGATGTGTTGGTTTTCGCTGGAGGTGTTTATGACTTTCCAAAATTTAGCTGGGTTGTTTTTCAGTAGTGTGGGTAGATCATTAGAATAATACTTTTCCTTAGCCTTACTTAAAGCTGTGCAATATGCTTTTATGCAGGTTTTATATTTAAGCCAAGAAGAAGAACTACCCGAGCACTTAGCATTATTGTAAAGCCGTTTTTTCTTATTTCGCATTCTCAGAAGCTTTTTATTGAACCATGGATTTGATTTACCATTGCTAATTTTAACCAGTGGAACATGCTATAACAAGTAATAGTGCTAAACTGTGCAATTCAGGAATGTTCAACTCAGCCCTGTCTCAGTGTAGCTTTTCTTGTAAGTATTTAGAGTACAATAGTGTTGCAGCTTTACGCCCAAAAACCACAAATTTGGTTATGAGGGATGTCACAGATGGCAGCTCCAGAAGTCTTGACTACATATTGGGCTCATGAGTGTGCACCTTCAATCTAAGCACATGGATCCATGGCTCTAGCATGTCGCATCCATTGACCATTGCCCTTGCAGCCGGCATTTCATCGCCCCAACTTCAGGTCAGCTATTGACGCAAAAATAAGTATGTTAACAATGCACATGCAACTTATGCGTGCCCTCGTATATTGTTAATGATTGCGTCTTTCCGGTACCTTGTCACGCCCGGCTTTGTGAAAGACATGCAATGATGCAAACCTCTCATGTTGCTCTGCTGGTTTGCAAATGAGAAGAGTGGCATTATTAATTCACCTTCGAAATACAATACTTCATTTAGTGCTACAACTTATTACAAGCAGTAAAGAAATCGGCACTGTTTCATATTTATCAATGTTTCGTGATTCGAACGCTTCGAGCACCCCATTCTCTTCAAGAGGGTGCAGCTACAAAAGCAGACGACTCCATAAAAGCCAAAAGTCGTCAAAGCTCAAAGCATACGAAGCCATCCATAGCCTCTTAGGCCTATTGGCGCACGCCATTGCTTGCAAGCCCCTCTTCCCACCGAGACTCTGGTGGTGCGTTTTTTATTTGATCAGTTGGTTTTTTTTTGTTTATAATCACTATGCGTACGTCGCATATAAAGATGGCGCGAAAGCCGTCGTGGCGGCCTCACTGATACGCGATTTCAGGCCGTCGTCTGAAACGGACCTTGCCTCAGGCAAGAATAAAATGATTTATTGGAGAGAAAAGCAGGAAGAAGGCGAGTTCGAAGATTACTTTCCTGGCGATGTCGTGGAATTAGCAGGTGAGAAGCGTGCAGCTTGCTGTAAAGCGTGGCTGTTCATTACTGCTTGTATGTTTATTTTTTTGTTTACCGTCTCTTCGTGCATTGAGTTATAGCGGCCCTTTGCGACTGTAACAGCTACTTGTATGGTGCAAGTTGTTTTCGTGGATTCTTGGTTCCTGCGCTAACGCCTTGTGCAATAGAAGCGTACGAAGTTGAGTTTGTTAGTACAGATTCGTGGTGGAACACAGCGTAAACAACGATGACGAGAAAGCCCTAACTGGGCTAACGCAAATAGGCAGTGCTAGTCCTGTTTGGTCAATCTCGTCACCGTTCGCGCTATGTTCTACAAGGAATCTTGTGCATGCACGAAACATTTGGCTGTGCCGCACGCACGCGCACACACACACACACACACACAAACAAACAAATTCAAGGCCCTTTATTTAAACTCTCAAGGCTAGTGGCGTATACCTGTGCCCAATAGAAGTTGGGCAATCGCAGATCATTGTTATGCTAGTAAGCCCGCAGGACAAAGCGCGGACTCGTCAGTCAGCTATTTTTTATGTATTTGGTGAATTATAGATTTATGTATACCACCTTTGTCTAACCCATTGTGCAGTCGTATTGCGTGGGTTTTGAAATTCACCTTACCTCTAATAGATTTCTGTATATCACCTTTGTCTAACCCATTGTGCAGTCGTATCGCGTGGGATTTTAAATGCACCTTACCTCTAACCGGGCCTTGCTACTTATAGGTATGTTTTAATTCGTTCGTAACCACGCATTTTCAACAACATCGTTCTCTTTACGACCTAAAATGTTGTCGTTTTTGGGCATGATGTCGCAGTGAGCTATCAGTGCTAAGTTGCGTGCAAGGTATACACCAACCACATAGGCATAATTACATGCTCCACAGTTGCAAAGTAAATTTATGAAGTGCATGTCGAAGCTAAGCTGCCTTCCAAACCAAATAATTTTCTCATGTGACAATCAAGGCAGTTGAAGTGAATGCACGTAAGCCACACATTGGAAACAACTTTACTCTCTCGTATTGTTATTCTCTTCCTTCTTTATATATACTGGATTGATTAAAAATTCTGTAAGGAATGAATACAGGAAAGAAAACATATAAAAAGAATTCCTTTGTAGCAATATTATTCTGATGCCATATTGAAACAGGCTATAGGGCAACAAGTTCAGTGGCATGTAAGAATACTTTGTTGTGTGCATATTCCTGGTGTGCTAAGCCCCTTACATTGTGGATATGACCATCACAAATAAAGCACAGGGGTCTGACAGAAAGGTATGGATTTCGTGCAACATGAAAAAAAATGCATGTCACTTCATTCTGCCGGTCTCACTTCTTGCCTTTGTCTCTATTGTTAGACAACTTGGCAAGTAGGTAAATGGTCATATCGATAGAGATGTTGGTGAGAACCACTAAGAGCACTTCAGCTTCTCTATGATTTGTAGGGAAACTGTGCTTGTGTGTATGCTTAAAAGTTGGAATATTTGTGCACTGTGCAACAGTTAATTTTGCCTTTACACTTGTTTAATAAGTCCATAATCCACAATTGTACTGCATAGTGGCCCTTGCCAATTATTTTTAAACTATCCATCTTTGTGCCTGACTGTGATTTTGCATGTCATAATTATTCAGACTTTTGGCCACTTATGTGTCATCATTACATTGGTATTGTACATTACTTTGCCTGAAACAACTGCACATGACCTCATCACTTCCTCTCTGAGAAACTTCATTGAACTATTGTTACAGAGTCCAAAGAAGACCTAGCCCGGAAGCTGTTCAGAAGGCGTATGCGATTCCCAGAGCACGTCTTTGACGACGTCCTTAAAGCTGCGCCTTCTCGGGTAACTAAATTTTGTTTTCTTTCTGGCAACTCTGATGAAATGTATTGTACCTCGTTTTAGACTCGTAAGTTGACCTAAAAAAACTCGATCATCATGTTAGGTCTATTAGAAAGGTTCTTCAAAGCTTCTTGCATAGCTATTGCGGCCATGATGGTATGCCGTGAAATACCTGTGCACTGCCTCACGATCACATGCACTAAAAGTAAGCCGTGTCTTGTAAGGAGGAAAGAGAACAAAAGTGCTTGAGGGCATGACGCACAATGAAAAAGCGTACCTTCTTGCACCCTTGTCAACCTCAGTTCTCTCCATTGCTTTCGGCTTGAGGGCATGACGCACAATGAAAAAGCGTACCTTCTTGCACCCTTGTCAACCTCAGTTCTCTCCATTGCTTTCGGCATGCTCGCTTGCACAGTTTTCTGAACTGATGTTCGTTCAAGTAGTATTCTAATGATATTCAATCAGAAGGAAATGAGGTATTTAAGTGAATATGTTATAAAATATTTCGTATATCAAAAATCAAAGGATTTCACAAGTGCTCAATACATTCAATAATTCATTATAGGTGGCTTGGACTACATCACAACATATGTTGTATATGTGTTAATAGAATCGAAATAATTTCGAGCAAGCACATTTCATAGTAAAGAATGTGGGCATGTCGAGGCAGTACTCTTCAGCCACGCAGAGTTGTCATGCAGTCTGATTTTGCAGGGAGAGCCGAGCCAAAAAGAAAAAAAGAAAAGAAAGGAGGCTGCCAAACGAAAGGAGATGGTGGCCTTGTCCGAATTGCCTGCAGCGGAAGGTGAAGAAAGAAACAACAAGGTGGCGAGGCTTGAGCAAGAAATTGTATCGTTGAGAAGGAAACTTGCTGACGAAAAAAAACGAAACCGGGAGTTACAAGAGGTCGTGGTCAAAGGGATGGGTAAGCATTTGTGCAGGGTTTGTATAGGAAATTGGAACACCTTGCAAACCCTTGAATTTGAAAGTTTCATTCTGAAGGCTCCTAAAGGTGATGAAAACACTTGAATTTGGGACCAGTGCAGACAGGTCCACAGTGCAATCCGTTATCTGTTGTAGGTTAGCATTAATACAGCAAGCTTCCCCCTTCAGAATTAATACATCTGTGCGAGTTTAGTTGTATTCTGTTTGTTTATGCTTTCTACTATCGTTAATTTCATTCCTCATTCATCATGTCATCATGTCTTGCTTTCACTCTCTCTACTGATCTCATTACGAAACTTATGCCTGTTGCATTTATGCTTCTTTTGCCTGCCGGCCTAGGTTGATCACCCTTCCATTTGTATTCCCTCTCTCTTCCCTGTCTTAACGAGTGGTGCATGTGGTTAGTACAATGTTCGAGTGGTGGTTGCTTATCCTGCCTAACAATGCTCCCACAAGAACACTACTTTTTATTTGCATGACAGGTTACACTGATAGTCAACTTTCTTGGTAGCCCTGTTCTCATAATCACTGCATTTGTTCTCCCTGTCTTTGGATTTCGGTTGCATGTCATGTATTTTGAGACTCTACCTGACCTGTGTTGCCTGGAGCACATGTGTGAGAATGAATGTTCAGTACTCCTAAACAGACTTCACCAGAGCAGGCATGGGTTAGCTGCAAAAGCGGTGCGGTAGATTTTGGTTGTCTATTACAATTTCGGATTTAAAGGGTTGTAACACCCCTTTATTGATTGTAGAAACTTCCCTATTTACGAAAGTAATTTCGGCTTTGTGTTAAACTCTATAAGTGTAGTAAATTTAGTGATAATTTGAAAGGTTGTAGAAAAAATTTCTTGTTTGGGTACCGTAGGGGACAGGGTAAGTAAAAGTATTTTTAAAAAATTATTTGTTTCTTTTTGCATTATTTGAAATATGGAGCCTTTTCTGAACTATAATCGGTCATTTGTCTTAGCGCAATTTTTTTCATCTCTAAATATGACAATATTTCACAACTTCGGTGGAGGCCTGCCATGCCCGCAATCTTACGTAGCGAGGGATTCCTTGCAGTTCAAACATTACGGCTATATGGAGAAGTTACAGTTAGCAAGCCAGAGTGCATTTGGCACATTGAGAAAAAAAATGGGTGCGGAACTGCGAAAACGCAAGAAAACAAAGGCATCAAGCTTTCTGTCGGGAAATACATATCTAGTTGGAGACTTCTTAGTGGTGTCATCATTGGAAAGCACCAAAACTATTGTCGTTAAGTCATTAAAAGAAATAGAGCCAGTTTAGAGGACATGCGAAAAGCTGTCTGGTTCACATATTTTTCCATGGCTTCAAAATATCAATCACTGACACGGCCTTATCGAACGATGCCGAAACTTAGTGTTAATTCAACAAAGCGCAGTTGAATGGTGAACCATTGGTTGATAAAGAACACCTTCCAGCATCTGTATTCAGGCTGTTAAGCCAAATTATTTGGAACTAGCTCATCCAGAATACTTGCTCAATGCCTCTATGGGAAAACTCAAAACCATAACGATTCAGTGGATTGTCGTGTGAGAGTGGGCTCCAAAAAACGTTTTCCTCGGGCATCAAACACTGTAAATATGCACCCTTGAGTCTGTACGTGTTCACTTTTAATGATGGCAATATAGCCCGTGTCAATGTGTTGAACTACTTTAGAATTTCACCAGGGCAGTGCACAACGTAGGACCCACGCACCCTTGAACTGCATTGACAGTACTGTGCTGACAACACGACTGCATACCAGGTGACAAGTGAAGGTAGCCAGCCAAGACGTTTCAGCACAAAAAGAAAAAAATTATATTGGTGATGCGTATCTGACTTATGCCTATTGAACGGGTCCGTCAATTTGCTGTTACTCGTTGTATACTCTTGAAATAATGTAGATTTCCAACTTTATATGCGATTATCTCAAAACATGCTTTTTTCGTACTTAAGTTCCTTTTTCGCAACAACCACCGTATCTAGAATCCTAGATTTCGGCTAGTATTTAGGTAACGTAAAAGGGAATATGCTGAAGCACAATAATTGTTGTATGAGAAAGTGCTCTTGTGCAATGTGACATCTAATAGCTATTGTGTGATAGCGAGGCACCTGGAGTAAAAATTTACCAAAAGTTAGCATTACAATTTTCAGTGATAAATTTGCTTTAGTAAAAATAAGAATGGCTCATTAATACAATAATAAAATAATTACTCCAGCTCTTACGGTTATGGAGAAAAAAGTACATAAACTTCACCTCGACTACATGGCAAATACAGGGCTTACTCTGTTCCCTTAAGTCCCTGAGAAACGTTTGACAGGGCCATGAAGTTCCATAAATATCCTTCAATTTTCTCCTTTCAAACCTTTATGAACCCTGTGTATGTGCAGGAATGATGTTATCCTACTTATGTTTATGAAATATTTATGCAGAAAAATTGCTGGAGAAATCGTGCTGCTGCAGCCATCGGGCGGCCAGTCTGCTTCAAGAGGTATGTGCACTTTCAGTAATTCTGAAATCGCATTCAAGATCATTGAAAAGTGTGCTTTTCGCATGTGTTGAGACGAAAGGATGAAGCATTCATTGCCTGAAAAGTTACTTACCAGGGCCTCGAAAAAATTGGGTGTTCTAACAGACTTTTCTTAAAGGGCCAGTCAACAGGCGCAGACTTTTTTTTACAACCCCCCAAACAATCTCGGTAATTCGTGGAGTAGACCGCAGTGATCCCGTTTTCTGAGTATTACAGAGCGGCGTGCCGCGCACAGCCTTCATTTCGAAAAACAATTCCCGCCCTCTATTCCTATGCTTGACCAATCTCCTTGCACACACAGTAACGATAACTCGGCTATCAGCGATGTGATGCAGCATGCAGCTCGTTAATTGGTCTAAATCAGGTCTCAACAAACAGTAGTGAAATCAACGACAGTTCCTGTTCCCACCCACAGCATAGACAGAGATATTTAATCATATGAGTTGCAAAACTGCCCTTAGGCTCCATGCAACGTAACCGGGACACTTCACTGACCCAGTTTTTGAGAGTAAGCAAATCGTCGCGCCACCTTTTGACAGGCACACCCACATTAAGCGCATTATTTGTGTTTTGTGTTGCTGCTCCCAGATGTCATGTCCGGGTTTCGGAACGCAGTTTTGCTGCAAATAGTTGTCGGCTGCAAATCGAGTGACTGGGCTAGCTGCGGAGAAGTATCGGCCTGGGTAAGCGGGAAAGAACCAGGTGTCGCAGCAATTGGAAGTGCATTGGGACTGATCCAGTTAGCTGATGACGTAAATCGCTGACGGGTTGTCGCAATGCCGAAGTGGGCGGAGTTACGACAGACCACGCCTTCCGCTTCCTCTGAAGGAGACGGGTGGCGAGACTGCACGAAAATTTTAAACCAGCTGAACGCGATGTTCTAGCCCCTGTAACTTCCTTAATACAGCACTTATTCACAAAATTCTTGCTTCCTTAATACAGCACTTATTCACAAAATTCTTGCGGCAGCATGTTCACGAAGTAAAAGCAAACATATTTCTCTTTACAACTTTTGGACCTTGGGGTTGTTCACTAGCCCTATAAAGCGAGCTTTCACACCCACTGATTTTCATTTTATTGCACGTAAAGCTGCAGTGGATGTGCCAAAGGAATTGCATACTAGTTCTGCAGGACAGGTGTACTGTGCATCTCATAGTGAAGCAACTTGGCCCATTGACATTAAATTGGCCTAAATCGAAACAACTGACACTCTTGCACCACAACTTTGGGTTACTTGCTATGCTTCTCATGGGCATTATCACCTACTTGGTGGTCGTGTGCTGGTGAGGCCACGTATGGAGAGTCGGTCGCTGCTTTGTGTGCTAACGTGGCCAGCTCTATTTACAAACCACTCTCGGTTCCGCCCCTCTACATGCTGTTTGACTGAAACTGCAGCTGGGTGCAGTAAAATTGTCTTCAACAATAACAGCCCGATCAACAGACTGCAAGGAACATTTCCAGACTGATAATTGGGTGGATAGCTGCTCATTGTAACAAAATCAAATGAACAATTAAGTTTTTATGTCAGTACCTCTTTTAAGCTTGCAAGGCCTCATTACAGGAAATGGATTCAAATCTTGAAGCCATGTGCTTGAGAGGGCCTTTAGATGACCAGTTTCATCTTGAAGAGGTGCGACAGATGGTGACACACAGTCTTCAAGATCAGGTATGCATCACTGGCTTTTCAAAAGTGAACTTATGCTGGGGCAAATATGCCCACAGAGCTCATACGTTTACTTTTGTCTGATTTCATGGGACTGTGGCATGATACGCACTGACATTTATAAATGACTGTCTCTCTGCCACAGTGATAATATGCCATCACTGCAAGCACTGGCACATTCAGTGTTAGTTGCACATCAAAACCTCTGCAAGAATATGGTCCTTCAAACAGGCATTGTGGCGCAAGTGTTGTATTTAACCAAGTATGTGCATGAGAATAGTGTTGGCTCATCCAACTCTTGCACATAGCAAAGTTGCTGTATTCATGAGTTTGCATAGAGAAAGAAACAAACATAGCCCGTACTAAAGAACTTGCTCTTGAGCGAATTCTTGCCTGAATTTGCTGAACATATGTATTACTGCGTTTACACCAATCTAAGCCGGCCCTGATTTTAAGTCTACCCGCTAAAGTCCGAAGCCTAGGAAAAAAAATTACTTCGAATGTAGGCAGAATGAAACGGTGAAGATGGCGTTCACAAAAGGAAAACATTGATTGAACCTGAAGAAGAAAGAAAGCAGTTGGTTCATGATGCTAAGAACTCAAGAAACATAAGCCGCTAGTCCTGTTGTATCCAAAATCAAGATGGGAGCCAACAGATGGTAACAGGTAGTGGGGTAATGGGGGTGAACAGTACATGTGCTTCAGACAGGCTGGCACGGTTTGATAGGAGGACCTATCTGTGTCAAAGGCACTTTGTCATTCTTGGCGTGTTAGTTTCAAGGAGATTAGTAGTGAGGTCATCTTTTCATGGTGGCGTATGTGCCTTTTGGTAATCTCAGTCTGAAAAGAAAAAAATCTATAAAGTAGGAGTGCAGCCCTCGCTTTCTTTCAAGTTAGGTTGCGATGTACAAAGTGTTTTCCTGTCAGAGGTTGGGTGCAGGAAAGCAAAAAATGAAAGTGAAAGAAGAAAAGAAAAAGAAGGAAGAAAAGGGGGATGCAAAGTAGGAACAAGCGGTGGGCTACAAAGCAGCGGCCGCTACAGACACTACCGAAGAAAAGAGCATGAAATACTTCGAAACCAGCAGATGGGCACTGCGTCTAGCCACCACAAAGGGTTGCCGACGACAGCGGCGTGCGTTTATTCTCAAACACCTATAAATGGGAAGGACAGCAACGAAGCAGTTACTAAAAGGGGGAGAAGCAGGCGGCATACATATAAATGTCAAAATGATGATGGTAAGCGATGCCGGATGGGGTCTTAAGAGCACGTGTTTAATGGGAAAGGTCATTAGCAAAAGGGGCGGGGGGGGGGCAGAGAACTTTTTCTATTGTCAATGAGCTTGAGGATACATGGTAGAACTGGTTTTAGAAACAGTAGGATTGGGCATGTTGGTATAACATAATAAAGAGTGCTTACCAGCGCAAATGACAGGGCAGGAGGGGACAGGAGAATAGACGAGACAGAGCACTGACGCTCTGTCTCGTTTCTTCTCCTGTCCCCTTCTGCCCCGTCGTTTGCGCTGGTGAGCACTCTTTATCATGGTTTTAGAAGCGAGGAAAGAAAAAAAGGAAGCTGTGATTTGAAGGTTCTTGAAAATAAAATTTTTTGTAATGATAATGAATGCCTGTATATCTGTACTTAAAATGAAAAATTAAAAGAGAATCAATGATAGCATGATATGTAGGCTTCCTTTTTTCTTTTCTTGCTTCTAAAACCAGTTATACCACGCGTCGGCAAGGTCATTATCAATCCAGAAAGTTCTCTTTAGCATTTTTTCCATCTGTGTACACCAAAGTCCCACTTTTCCCCCATGCCGCTTTTTTTCTTTCCTCCTCTTTTTTAACTCTTTATGGCTCATTTTCTTTTCATTCTCAATTCCCCTTTTCCTTAGCCAACGTGAGGCCGAATTCTTAGGGCGTTTCCCCTGAGCGGGCTACCTGTAGGGACACCTGCCCCCCCCCCCCTATTTTGCTAAGGACCTTTTCCATTAAACACGTGCTCTTCAGACTCCATTCGGCATCGCTTACTGTCATCATCTTGACATTTAAATGTATGCCGCCTGCTTGTCCCCCTTTTAGTAACTGCTTCGTTGCTGTCTTTCCCATTTATAAGTGTTTGAGAATAGGCGTACGCCGCTGTCGTCGGCAACCTTTTGCAGCGGCTAGACGCGGCACCCATCTTCTGGTTCCGAAGTATTTCATGCTCTTTCCTTTAGTCGTAGCGGCCGCCGCTTTGTAGCCCACCGCTCGCTCCTACTTTGCATCCCCCTTTTCTTCCTTTTTTTTCTTTTCTTCTTTCACTTTCTTTTTTTGCTTCCCGGCCCCCACCTCTGACAGGCGAGCACTTGGTACATCGCAACCTAACTTGAAAGAAAGCGAGGGCTGCACTCTGCTGCTTTATAGATTTTTTTCTTTTCAGGCCGAGATTACCAACAGGGACATATGCTACCACCAAAAGATGACGTCACTACTAACCCCCTTGAAACTAACATGCCAAGGATGACAAAGTGCCTTTGACAAAGATAGGTTCTCCTATCAAAACGTCAGCCAGCCTGTTTGAGGCACTTGTGTATGTGTGTACGTGTGTATGTATGTGTGTCACGTGTGTACTTAAGCCGGGTGTTGATTACTAGCAGCTATGTTACCGTCTAGGTACTGCTAGTTGTTCACCACTTTTCTCAATTAAAAATGCCACGTTTTCGAAAATCCTCATATTTAAGCCGACCGTGGAGTTTATAGCAAAAAAATTCGAAAAAAAGACTTTGTCGAGATTTGCATGAATACGGTGATTTTGTTGCAAAGCTATAAACCTAGGAGAGGTTGAGGGAACAGTCTTTTTCAACAGGAAGAGGCAGAGCTGTTCCAGTGCACCGCTGTACGTATCTCTCCTCTGCCCTTTTCATGTTTCTAGCTCTTTGCCAGAATTAATATTTTTAGCTTACCCCATACTTTGCTTTCAGTCATTCTTGATCGATGTGTGGGTTTTAGTTGGTTAGGTGTTTGTTAACCGAGTTCAGTTTCTGACCAATTTTCTGGACCTTGCAGGGTCTGTGAAATATCAAACAGTCCTGAAAAATAGTTAATACATGAAAATTAGTTATTTAGATTAGAATAGCCTAAAAAGACCCCCAATGACACCAGGCTTCATGCTGTGCTTCGGGACAAGCAGAATTGGATTTATTTGGGCTACGGTAATGTCAGCGCATTGGCAATTGCTGCCGCTGACCGTTGTGAGCAACCCAGTTGGCAGTTCCATCCCACCAAGCAAACGAAACTTGATGCAGGCCGCAAAGAGGTGCTTGCAATGTCTTGTCTGTTTTGTGAGATTTAGCGACGCAGTCAGGGTTCTTGACCAGCACTGTCATTGCATACTGTGTAAGCCTTCACTATTTCACCTCCATCGAACTACTATTGCCGTGGCCGCGATTGAACCAGCATGTTTCAGAATATTCACGTTAACTACATTCCTACTGAGCTGCTGCATTAGCTGAGAACACGTGACCCACACAACGGCTCAAAAACTTGAAAAATCTCCAAAATGACCACATGTCAAAGACAACCAGAAAAACTATTACTCTCCTTTCTTGATGTGAAAAATAATCCTTCAAAAAAGAAAAACCTATGGGTGTAGTTTCTTTCCCTATGCAGTTTTGCTTGCCAAGGAAGATAGGACACTGCCTCGAAAATCGGAAGATGTGCACATTTTCAGTTTGGAGGCAATGCAACTTCCATTGGAAGTCAACAAACTTGACCAAGCCAATAAAAATCTAACATGGTGGCTTTCAAAATCGAGCGGCACTTTAAAACGAGCTATTTTGTCCAAAAAATTAAACTTTAGGGTAAAATTTGTTTGAAAAATTAGACGCAAAAATGTTTTGTGCTATGGTAATATTGACAACACATTTAATGAAGTCCAAAATATCGAACAAGTCTGAAAAATCTATTGGCGTTACTGGATCTGTATGTGTGAAGTATTTTACACTTTCAAAACTCTGAATATTGAAAAGGACTTTGTTTTTATAAGTTCGTGTATTTGTATTGCACTATGTTAAAGCGCTATCATCTCCAATATTCACTGCAATAAAGACGCCTCCTGCTGTTAAACAAGTGCTGCCACTAGCAGCAGTGGCGGCAGCAGCTCCAGCAGCAGCGGCGGCGGCACTACCAACACCACTTCCAGCAGTGCCGGCAGCAGCTGTAATGCCACCACCGCAAGCTTCAACTCTGGTGGCACAACCTACAGCCATGCCGCTTGTAGCAGGGCCGCCAGCAGCTGTAATGCCACCACCGCAAGCTTCAACTCTGGTGGCACAACCTACAGCCATGCCGCTTGTAGCGGGGCCGCCAGCAGCTGTAATGCCACCACCGCAAGATCCAACTCTGGTGGCAGAACCTGAAGCGATGCTGCTGGTAGCAGAGCCACCAGTGAGTGCTGCGCATCAGTGCGTACTTGAAACAGAGGCTACTGAGGTAAGGTTCTCTGTCATATCTTTATAGATGGCTAGTATTGAGTTCACACAACATAACCACTTATCAAGCATGACTGCCTGTAATCTTTGTTTCCTGATAGTCCTTGCATACAACTCTGCAAACATAAATGCCACGTATTGTGCAGGTGCATGAGACATAACTGCTGCCAACTAGGGTGGGAGGGGGAACCGTTTTAAAGCTTGAATAACCAAGTGTCAAAAAAAAGTCATTCACCACAAAAAGCACCTTTATTTGAGGTTTGGGCGTAACGCCCATGTATGAAACTGATAAGAGTGAAGATGACTAGGAAAGACATTTTTGTACATCGCAATGAAATACCAACTATATCTTATATTGACACCCTTGTTCAACATTTATTGGCCCACTGACCGGAAAAATGTGTCACTGCACTCACGTGCTTCTGGCACACATACTTATGCACTACCAAGTCTGCCAGTATTTCAGCCTGTGTTTGGCCATCTGGTGGACGACAGCTGACCTAAATCTAAGATTGTTCGGGAGTTTGTCAATTTGAAAACGCGATCATTTGTCAAGTACTCAAACTTGCATAGGTGGCCATTATGATGATGATGTGCTGTCCACTCCACAACCATCATGTCCACCTACAGTGGAAGTTGTAACAGTCTCTACAGGGATGGCCAAACACTGGCTGAAATAAAGACCGACTTGTGCAAAGCGTGCGTGTGTAAAAATATAGATGGACAAGATTTTTTGGCCACTGAGCTGAAAAAGGGGCTTTTTTGTGAATACTTTTTTTCAGACTCGGTTATTTCGGCTCTTTTGCAGTGCCCGCTAAGTTCAAAGGGTCAGCCACACTATCGTAAGCGTCGCTGGCTGCTTGTCATGCCATGAAAGATCACATTATATCAGGCAGCCGCAGTCCAAAAAAATTGAATGGCACACGGTGGAGCATCCGAATTTTTGTTGTGAGTTTACATATGTAAAGGGCGAAGGTGGGGGTCAAAAGTTTCCAGGTCGCTATCTCATGTATTCCTATGGGAGCGTGGCCTCGGAACTTTTGACCCCCCTGTACTTCAATAAGATGAGTGACAGTGCCACAAAAATGTCCAAATAAATGACAAGTGACTTTTATCTCATAAAATGTTGCAAGTAGCGTGAAGTTTATTAGCAAGCAAGTTAGTGAATGAGTTTCTGTAACCAGTGAGCTGGTCAAGGGGAAAACGACCATTACACCACATGCTGCATAGGCGTTCACGTGTTATCATTCCAGTGTCTAACACATGTTAGTACTACAGCAAAATGATATTGCGTTCTAATGACATGTCCACAACTGAGAAAGAACTTTGTCATGTTTCCCTGCTGACACTGTGTGCACAAACTTCCAATGTACGTGGCATGTAGTAAAACTTGTTTTGTATTCATGACCGCCAGCAGTGTCTTGCCATCACTGATTAAAATTATGTTATACAGTCGAACTTCCGCTACAACAAACGGCGCTCCACTGAAATTTCTGCTGCAGCGAAAAATTCACAATTCCCTGTCAGCAGTCAATAGGAGTCAATGCATAAATATTGTCGCCATAACAAACACTTTTTCTTCGATCGTCCCGCTTCAACGAAGTTCACGATGCAATTCCAGGCTCGGGCACCTACTTTTATGCAGTAAACCCAATTTTTAACATTTCGATGCATTTTCAGAGCCTGAAAATGCGTTAACAAAGTCTAGAACACGCGTTAGCACCACTAGAAACCGCCGTTATACTGCCGCTGTTCAGCAAGCATATGGCACCGCCATTGCTCGATAGCGATGGCAATAGGACTGCTCTGCTTTTGCCACTGGCTTGCTTCGAGCGGCAGACGATCCGAAGCTGAAGCTCAGTCGCTCAGTTCATGGTCCTGCCGTGCAGCTGCTGAGTGCAACTGCGGAACGATGCTTTTTGCAATTTTGAAGCTTATTATATTCGCGCTTAGCCAGGGTGGTAACTAATCAGAGTGGCTATTCGTCTGCATTAATAACAAAATCTAATAACTGCGGGTGATGGATGATAAGAATGGCAAAGAACAATGCAAAAGTCGTCGCTCCACGATACCTTGCCTCCATCTCGGCGTTCTCAGATACTTCTGACGGCGGACAGCTGCTGGTGTTGACGTGTTAATGCAACTGTTTGGTTCGTTCACCAAGGCGGTTTTAGGCGTTGTTTCAGCTTGCTTTTCACCATGGCATCGCTATGCATGGGTGTTAATCGCGTCGCGACGTTGCTGGGAAAGAATAGGAAGCAGCGGCCATTTTTTGAATTTTGAGAATGAACGTTTCTTTGTTTTGCTAGCTCAGATCAGCTATATTTTGTTCGATTTCACTAAAACGAAATTTTCGCTTCAACGAAAATTTTTCCGCGCCCCGTCAGTTTCGTTGTAGCGGGGTTCGACGGTAGATGTCAGAACAAAAAAAGACAAGGCACATCAGCCATTCTCTGCCGATTATGACTTGTAACAGGAATGAGACCCACTGAATGTCTGGCGGGGGGAAAACCCTGTTCTGAATGACCGTGCAGAGAGCAGTATAATCAAAGGCAAGCACAGGGCTCCAGTTTGGGGGGAATGGGGTCGTCGCAGTGCCCCCATCCTTATTAAGTATCTGTATGGGACAGATATTTAGTAGGCGCTCTTGATGACACTTGCCATGGCAATTGAAATTCCAGTTGGCATCAGTGTTGATGAGTTCATCTGCACGGTGTGATTTTTGAGTCTAGTAAACAAGTGCAGGAGGATATCTAGAAAAAGCGTGGCTCTTTCATATCGGACTGAGGTGGCTGCTGTAGAGAATGTATAACGTACAGCAACAATGTGGCCCTGAAAAGGCCCGTTTTTTATGCGCACATCGCTAGAAGTTCAGCTTGATGATATCAGTTGAAATACTGATCTAGACTTGTGAAAAATGCTGGTGCATCAGAGGTGGTAAAATCCAAGCATATTTTCAAAGTGTGAATCCCCCCCCCCAATGTTTAGTCTCGAAGACCTGCTTCCCTCTTTCTGTTCAGGGTATAAAGGTTGCCTCTGGCCTGTTATAGGCATATGTTACTGAACTGCTCAGAAATTATGACATTTTATTCACTGCACAGTTTTGGGATGAGCAATTTCCAGGTTTTCATACATGTCAGATCTAATTTCCTACTTCTGTATCAAAAATATTTTTGGCAAGAAGCTCGGTTTTTTCAACGAACATTGAAATGATCTTGCACCACTAGTGTTGCTTGCAGAATTCTCAGCATTAGGACACTGTTCATTTGTTTATGCAGAGAAACCTAGGCCATGGTATAAGCATACCAGAAGAAAGATGGGAACACCTGATGGCCCAGCCGAAGGATTCCCTTTTTGTAAGGGAAGCTGCAAAGGCGATATGGGGTGTCCACAACCTTTACAACAGAAGTATAACGGGCACCCCATGTCGCCGTTTCCTTCACAAGGAGGGTGGTCCTCCGAGCGTGGAGAAGCGGGCACTGACCCCAAGGAAGTTGGATGCCCTAAGGAGTAAGCCTGTTTTGTTGTTGTTTTTTGTTGTAAAAAACTGTTAGCCGTGTGTAATTCACAATGTCATTAAATCATCATAGAAAAATGTGTTATTTTTGCATTAATATAGTATTTTGCAATTTTATTGTACAGTTCAGCGTGACCTTTATGAGCTGTAATTTCAGCGGCATACCGACAACACAGCTCACTCCAAACATGTAACATGATGTGCACTAATTTTCGTGAAAAAGTAGTATACTAGCAGGTAAATGTTAATGCAACGAATGTCGGTGGTCTGTGAAGAGCCATTTGGGATTTGAAATAGTGTTATGTATGGTTAAGTGCTTACGAACAAACTTCAGGGGAAGTTGACTACTTTTGAAGCAGTTTATGCAGTAGAAAGACTGAAATATTTTACATTCGATTAGGCATAGCCCTACAAACAACTTTAGGATAGCTGGTTAGAGATGACTAAAGGAAAAATACTACAGCCATTACGTGCAGCCAACAACGGCTTAACCTTTGATTGGCTTAACTTTTGATTGACTATTGCCACGTGGATGCATTGATTTTGGCACCAGCTATTCAGTCGTTACCAGCTCATTTTAGTGCTGGCAGCCTGGTGAAATGCAGACATCCCTTATCATGGCATTGAACATTGCATTTGATCGTGCAGCCATTCAGGAAAAAATGAAACGACACACTGTATGACAATCAAAACTATTGGTCATGGTTATGTGTTATTTCAATAGAATGAAAAGTGATGCCACTCAAAGGCACTGAACTGAACAAGTGTGTCCAAATTCTTTGCTGTGAATACATTGCTGGCTACTGCATATGCTCTCAATCCAGCGTGAAGGTGGCATCCTAAGAAATCATATTTTTAGCATTTTTTTCGAAGTTTGTTAAGATTGTGATTTTGGAAATTGCAATAGTGTTCCTGCTATTTTGCACTGCTATGTCATCAGTGCTGATTCAGTATAGTGGTGTTGAAAGACTCTTGAATAAGTAATTTTTTATTACTATAGTCGACTTTTTTATTGGGTATATCACATGAGTGTTCATGAATGCACAGACCTTTTGATTCTTCGAGTTTCCAAGGCTGTCATGTATTTGATTCCAGTGGCCAAAGATCACATCAAAAATTGTTTTTTGTTGTAGAAAGTTTTTAATTTATGATATGCTGTTCACACTCTCCATTATGTCTTGAACAGGGGCATAAGCTGCAATTTTTCGTGGGAAGGGGGGGGGGGCGTGAGCCCACTATGCCATGCCACTGGTCTTGAATATATGCGCAATATTTGTCTCTTTGTGATGCCTTAATCATGCTTTTATTGAAACTGCACATGTAGCTGTGTGCAGTGTAATGACGTTTTCTCATATTCTGAATACGCTAGAAAAAAGATTGGTGGTGATAGTAACTGCATTTCATTATTCGAAGAGTTAAATTTTTTTGGGGTGTGATATAAGTAATTCTAAAATTTGCTAATTGTTCTCTTCCTTCTTGGTGCCATGCAGCTTCATTAGCATCTGAATGCTGCAGAAGCTGCATGCTGCATAAGTCACAGTGTTTACAAGAGAGAGAAACAACTTTATCCCATCTTAAAGGAAAGGGGTTGTGACAGGATGAAGCAACTCTAACAGCTCGGGATAGCCTGCTAAGTGTGGACTTTTAGCTGAGCATGGCAGCCTTCCACTGCTGTTCGCCGAGCCTTCGTGCAAGATGCCATAACTGTAGAGAAACTGTAAATTTTAATGGCAGTAAATGTACGTGTGCACAGCACTAATTGTTACATTTATTGCTTTCACTTGCAATTCTTAAATTTTCAGTTAGTATCCGGTAAACATTTCTTTGTTTTGTAATGATATTTGATAACGTGTACACATCGTTCAAAGTAGTTGGGACCACCTAGTTATTTTCTATGCGATAGGCATGCTTTTACCTTTTACCTTACATAACAAGCCTTTATTATTTATTGTATGCAGATGCCTATGAAGAGCACCTCCGGGCGCACGCAAGCCTGGTGCCGGATGCACAGCGTCACAGAAATTTGAATCGGCATCTTGCTGATCTCCCCAAAGTGCTGAAGCTGTAATCTACAAAAGCACGCATTTTATAATTTTTATTGATTCATAAAATTTTTCATTTTTTTAGATTCCTCTTGCACTTTGATCCAACTCGTGAAATGATGGTGCTGGGTCACCTCATTTAAGTGCTGTGAACATTAAGAAATGGCAATGGACATAGCTCGAAAGTGCATACTAAATATTATAATTGCTGTGAGTGGTTTCCTTATTTGATAACTAATTTATTAAGTTTTTATATATATATAATATACCTTTGTATATAAATATAGGACACTGCAATAATATATTGCAATATTG